GCTCGAAGCAGGGTCTAGCTTTGGCGGACACCAAACCGATACTGCGCAACGCGCAGATCTACCGAAACACTTTCAAAATCACATTGTTGTCAACGTCGTCCTCTACACGTACGCACAAGTCACAGGCAAGCGCATCAATCAAGAGACACAATCGTTTTACTGCTAGTTTAATCACAAAATAAAAAATCTTGGTCGGCAACCAATGTCGGCTTCAATGTCATCAATAAGAAGAAAGATCATGCGAGCGTTCAGTCTGCGCGTCCACACACTCTTTACTCTAGTCAACCATTCAGTCAACGTAAACCACAGACACTGGTGCGACTCGCGCGACATACTTCAACTCCAAACTAAACTTATTTTCGGTCGCTTGCAAAAAAAATAGGGCGGATACCCTTGTAAGGGTATTCGCACCGACACCGTAGTCTGATCTTAGGGGAATGCCATGATACAGAAGGGCACTTTGGATGGCAGGAGATTTTAGCTAACCTGATGATGTCATATACATTGCCAGGAATTCAAGCAGATTGCATCGAGTATGTGCGCAGTTGCAAGGTATGTCAACGGAATAAAACTACAACCAGGGGCCCGTTAGGTCTTCTGAGACCCTTGCCTATTCCGTCAGGACCCGGAAATCCAGTTTCCATTGACTTCATGGATACTGGGGTGAAGAGTAGGCACGGCAAGACTCAAGTCATGGTCATAGTAGATAGGTTTAGCACGTATGCAGTATTTGTTCCCCTGCCGTCAGAGGCACGTACAGACTTAGTCATTAGTAAGTTTTTCGACTTCTGGGTAAGTGAGCATGGCATGCTGCTGTCCATAGTGAGTGATCGGGACACGCGGTTTACTAGTCAGAATTGGCAGGATCTTATGAAAGTCTATGGGTCTAGGCTGTTGATGTCGTCAGGACGACACCCAGAGACTAATGGCCAGACAGAGCAGATGAATAAGATCTTGCAACAGCTACTTAGAATGTATATTAGACCAGATCAGATAAACTGGGATGAGATGCTTCCCAAAGTAGCAAGTGCCTACAATAACAGTGTTCATCTAGCTACCTGCAAGACTCCTAACGAGCTACATAAGTCCTTTAGACCAAGGCGACCGTTTGAGGGACTAAACTGGGACCAAATACACAAACTTCCACCCGGCACACGAGAGTTTGTGTTACAACATGAGCTGGAAGTCGCTAAGGTCATAGACAATCTGAGAAAGGCCCAGCATCGGATGATAGAGCAAGCTAACAAGCACCGCCGACCTTCACAGTTTCAGGTAGGCGATCTAGTCTGGGTCAAGTCAAAGGAGTTCGCACCTGAGGAAAACATCTCGCAAAAGCTCTTACCTGCTTATAGAGAACCGTGGCCTGTCCTAGAAGTCAAAGGAGGAGAGGACAGCCCGTCATATACTACAGAGATTCCAGCACACCGCCATACGTACCCACTCTTCCATGCATCTAAGTTGTTACCCTGCACCACATCTGATAGATTCCCGTCTAGGAGATTGATGATTCCGCCAAACATGGATGGTTAGATTCACGTACCAGGAAGAGGACGTGTTCAGAACAGGAGGTCGAGGCCGTCCCCAGAAACACTATAAGGTTAGATTTGCATACCAGGAACCCGAGGACGACCGATGGTTTACAAGAACAGAGCTTTTAGAAACCGCTCCCGACATAGTACACGCTTACGAAAGAGAAAGAAAGGGCAAAGGTCCTATCTTGCATCAGGAAGTTTTTAGAGGACCTCGAATTTAGGACGGCGGGAGTGAAATGGTTTCACCCAGTTGACCTGACATTGCAGACACAAAGATTCGATCCCTTGACCTGTGCCCTAACCCTGTACATTGAACATGTGTGTTGAGTGAGATTCGATCCCTAGACCTACCCTATACCTGTACATAGACCTAGTGACCTGAGTAGGATTTGAACCCTAGACCTGTCCTATGTCCTTCGCTAGTCTGTAGGTTGGACAGTAGGACTTGATCCCTAGGTCTGTAGATTAGCAGTCGAGTCTGTTACCACTAGTCCTAAACAGTCTATTTTAGAAGTCTCTACCTGCGTCTACTGTGGGCCTAGAGTCTGTCTGTTGGTCTGTAGGCTCTAGAAGGTCGTAGGTCCCTGTAGGCCAGTCTAGTCAGGAAGAACCAGGGGTAGGGGCTGCACGTGGGGAAGGTTCTGGAGCACACTGTGGGTTTCACACGTTTTGGCCCAGAAGGCCAAGCGTCTAGAAACTTCCCTGGGCCACACGTTTTGGCCCAGACCCACACGTTTTGAGGCAGGCTTGGGTACCTCCAAAGAAGTATAAATAAAGAGGTAGCGTCCAGCCATTCATTCATTCGTCTGTGAGCCATGCGGAAGAGCTGCCTTGGTATCTTGTGCGTGGAGGTATGCAGGTGCCCGGAGAGGAAGTGGGCTGTGAAGAAGACAGCGGCCATAGTGAACCAGTGAGGGAGACACCGGCGGCAATAGCTAGCTAGAAGGAGGAAGACGACAACGGCCATAGCCGCCCAGCTGTTGGTGTAGACAGAGTGTACAGAGTTTGAGTGGTTGTGTAGCGTGGACATTCAGGGTGATCCTCGTGCATGCATCCATGTGAGAGTGAGGGAGAGTGAGGCTGGTGGTAGAGACGGTGTTCGGCGGCCATAGTCGCAAGTTGTACAGTTGTTCTGAACAAAGTTCAAGCGCAAGTTCATTCTTGTTTCTAAGTTGGAAGAGTCTGGTTTGCCATCAGTTCGCAAGTGTGCATGTTGTGAGAAAGTCCAGAGTTTAGTCTGATTGCACACACACACACGCACACACACACACACACATCTGATTCAAGTCTTCAATGAGCTGCTTCGGTAGAGCAGGGGCCATCGGCACTATCACCTGCATCATGGGGAAGGCAACAACATCAAATGGGGTTAGTCCCTCGAATGACGAAAGTTTCCCATCTCCGCCTCCACACTCTCCCCTATGATCCCCCTCGACTGTGCAACATTCCAGAGGCCATATAATTACCAAAAAAAAAAAAAAGAAGTGGAAACAGCATCCCAAAAGCAGGAGGGAGAAATGGAGGGAGGAGGAGGGAAGGATGTCGTGAGAGAAGTGCAAGGAACATGAGTGTGAACGAAGTACAGAAATCCCAATTGCAAATCACCCTGAAGTCCATGTAGTCAAGCAAAGAGTAGATAGCACATTGGAACCAAGATACCATCCATTGAGAACGATACAGCAGAATCGAGAGTCAATGTCCAAGCCCGAAGGGCCACACCAACATTAGAACCCAATGTAGCTCTCACTTCGAATGGCGTCGGGCGCCCTATCTACTCTACAGCCTATCCCTACAACTATAGCATGACGCGACCAGGACGTCTTGAAGACCAGCGTGCTTGACGTCAACACCAATGCCGACCTCCTCTCGCACACCAGGTAAGTACTCACTCGCTCTCCTCTTCTCTTCCCTGACTCCCACTCATCGTCTCCTCCTTCCGAAGACCACCTTCGCCCTCACCTCCTTCTGCGCCCTCCTGCAGCTCGGCTATGGCTGCCAGCGCCTTGCACCCCAGCTGCGCCCTACTGCTTAGCGCCAGCCAGCTTTCTCTCAGCCAGAGCGTAGCGCAAGCACTCCGCTCCAATGCAGCAGCGTAGCGCAAGCACTCCGCTCCAATGCAGCAGCGTAGCGCAAGCACTCCGCTCCAATGCAGCAGTGCCTGGATTGGCCAAGATCCCTTCCCCTGCGCCCAGACTGCCTATATGCAATGGTAGGCGCGTGTGCGGCCCCTCTAGCCTGCGACTGGGTCCCAGTATCTGTGTCCAGGCCCAATGCAGATGGGGCCCAGACTTTTACAGTTGCGCCCATCAGCCCAGGGCCGATGTCCAGATTTAGATAGCGGGCCGGTTTTCCCATTGGTACGCTCGACCTCTACGACGACAACGCTGCTTTTCGATTGGCCAGCGTCCAATGTGTGATGTGTCGGCCTCCCCTGGCTTGTGCCCAGGGCTCAACCAACTGAGGCCCTGGGCTCAACTGCTTCTGTAGGAGTCTGGGCTTCACGATGCGCTCCAACCAACTAGCGTGCTGCAACTGTCTGATACCCATTTCACGAAATGTTGAAAGAAAGGCCTCTCGTGGATATTCTGGCCCGCCTTCACTTAGGGTGAGCATGAGGCTTGTTGGGGGCCTTAACCCAGAACATATGCATGTTGACAAGGCCCCAATGAGGGCTCAATCCTCACATTCCATCCCCCTTAGCTTCGAAAGTCCGCTGAGATGCTTACTCTGCGGGTGCCTTCCTCTTTAACTTTCTTTCATATTCAGCCACCACCTGAGGTGCTGTCTCAATCAGTTCCTCTCTGGTGAACCATCGATCTTCTTTCGGATTTGTATGATGCCTGAATCTGACCCTGTATTCTCTCTTAGATTTTGGTCTCCCTCTACCCAGAGGTTTTGGAACAGGCATGTTTCAGAATATTGTCGATGTCCACGTGGCCGTCCATGGTTGGGGGCAGCATTGATCTCCTGGATGGAAATTGAGCTGTCTCAGCGAAAGGTGCAAGCTTTGAGGCGTGGAAGACAGGGTAAGTGCGTAGGTGACCAGGGATTCGAATAACATAGGAGGGACCATCCAAATCATCCCCAACTACATCCAAAACTTCCCAAGGACCGAAATACTGTGGCATTAGTTTACGAGAGATTCCGAATTCCTGTCCTAGTTCACTAGCCTTAACCCAGACACGTTCCCGTACCTGAAATGTGGACGGTCGACGATGTTTGTTCTCAGAAGCAATCATTGCTTCCTGAGATTTCTTGATGTGCTCGACAGCTTGCTGCAGCAACTTCTCATACTGCACCCCGTATTCCAAGGTGCCAGGTGTTGCTGCAGGTCGGTTTTCAGGCAGGAGGAAGTCTAGAGCGGATCTAGGCTTCCATCCCAAGTGCAGCTGGTTAGGACTAACGTCGGTTGTGTTGTGCACAGCGTTGTTGTACAGGCTGGCGATGAGGGGCAATTTCTCATCCCAATCATCCTTGCTGGGCTTAATGTAGTGCCTCAGCAGATGTTGCACAACTCTGTTCATCTGTTCGGCCTGTTAGTTGGCTTCGGGATGATTCTCAGAAGTCATCTGAAGTTGACTGCCCATTTGCTCAGCAGTCTTCTTCCACAACTCACTTGTGAAGCGGAGATCTCTGTCACTAACGATTGTCTTTGGCAGCCCAAAATCACGCACCCAGTTGTCCATAAACAACTTGATGATGTGCTCAGTCGTCGCAGTCTCTGGCATGGCAATCAGTCTAGCGTACTTGGTGAATCTGCCTATGATGACAAAGATGTGCCTCTTGCCACTCCTACTGGTTACTAGGGTGTCCATGAAATCCATGGAAACACTCTGTCCTGGACCAGCGGGAATGGGCAAAGGCTTCAGCAACCCAAGCGGTGCTTGAGTTCGCGGGTTGTCCCGCTGACAGACCTGGCAGGTCTCCACATATTTCTTTGCGTCATCTAGCATACCGGGCCACCAAAATCGTTGTACTAGATTGGCACTGCTCGTTTTGTAGCCAAAATGTCCAGTTGCATCGTGGCATTCACCTAAAAATAAACTGCGCAAATTCTCACTAGATGGAACAACTAATCTTTCAATCCCAGCCTTTCTCAGAACGAGCAACCCATCCACCATCACAAACTCTTCTTCTGTGCCCTTGTCTTTGGCCTGCAGTTTGTGAATGATGTCCATCGTGACAGGGTCTTCCTGATAGGCTCCCACCAGCGATTGAGTAACTTCCTCAGATACACCAAATTCGAAAACTAGCGCCCCTTGGTAGTCTGCCCTACGTGACAGCGCATCCGCAACCTTGTTGTACTCTCCCTTCAGATACTCCAGCTTGAAGTCATATTGATCTATGACCTCAATCCAGAGCTTGAGTGCATCAAAAAGAGCAGGTTGAGTCTTGATCCATTTGAGGGTCTGATGGTCAGTTCTCAAATAGAAGAACCGCCTCAACAGAAAGTGCCTCCAATGGACTAGTGCCTTGTAGAGGGCATAGAATTCCCTTTCGTAAGTGGACTTTGCCAGTTTCTTTGATGGCATTTTCTTGCTCATATACTCAATCGGTCTCAACTTCTTCCCATCCTGCTGAGCCCGCACTGCGCCAATGCCGTATTGGCTTGCGTCAGTCGTCACAATGAAAGGCTTCTGAGGACCGGGCACCATGAGAACCTCATGATTCATGAGTGCATGCTTCAATCGCTTGAAAGCAGCCTCACACTCATCACTCCACTCCCACGGTGTGTCAAGTCGAGTGAGATCAGTCAAAGGAGAGGCGATTGTAGAATAATTTTTCACAAAGTTCCTATAGTAACTGCACATTCCTAAGAATGATCTGACCTCAGTAATAGTCTGAGGTCGTGGCCAGTCCCTTCTACTAGCCACCTTTGCATCTTTCGGCCTAATCCCCGCCGCGGATACTTCATGACCCAAGTACAAGATCCTAGTGCGTCCGAACTCGCATTTCTCTAGGTTGACCTTATACTTGTGCTGTCGCAGGAGTGAGAGAACAATCTCTAAATGTTGTGCATGCTCCTCGACAGACTTACTGAAGACAAGAATATCAGCGAGGTATATGACGACAAACTTGTCCAAGTAGTCATGGAAGATCCTATTCATGGCGTGCTGGAATGTACCCGACGCATTGCAAAGGCCAAAGGACGTCACCACAAACTCGTACAGACCGTACCTGGTTTGAAATGCAGTTTTGTGTTGATCCTCAGGTCTTGTGGCAATCTGATGGTAGCCGGATTTTAAATCTATCTTGGTATGGTACTTACATCCTTGCACCCTATCCAATAGGTCGTCAATGCGTGGTAGAGGCTCGACGTTCTTCACTGTGATGGCATTGAGGCCTCTATAATCAATGCACATCCTCAACGACCCTCCTTCTTCGGTACACATAACACCGGTGATCCGAAGGGGGAAGTACTAGGCCGTATCCATCCCTTCTCTGTGACTTCTTTCAGTTGTCGCCGAAGTTCGTCCAACTCGGCCGGAGCCATCCTATAGATCCTTCCCTTTGGTTTTTTACTCCTTGGAATGATTTCTATGGCGTGGACAATCTCCCTTTCTACGACTCCTGTAGGTTCCTCAAACAGATCAGGGAACTTAGCAACGACGTGTTCTATCTCTAGGGGTGTTTTAACGGCCTCCCCTTTCTCAGAGACATACACTAGGTACATACCCTCCTCTTGGTTCTGTTTATAGTAATTGTAGAACGCTGATGCGCACAAGCAGCCATAGGATTCTAGTAACCCACTAGCCTTATACTTGGTCAGTCTCACGGTCCTTCCATCAGGCAACTTATGCTTGAGCACCTTCTTGTCCCAGTCAAACTGGGGCTTGGCAACCTCAAGGTAGTACATTCCTAACATATCAAATGGTAAGTCGTCGCTAACCAGGAACGAAATCTGGTTATTAAGTTCCCCTCCTCCATAGGAGAAGGTGCAGACTACATCCTTGACATAGTCTGTGACAACCATGAGCTCCTTATTGGCCAAAGTAGATGCTACTGGTCTACTTAGGTGTTGCACCTGGTCCTTTAGACGCAGCCTTTCCAAACAGTCGCGACTTATATAATTCCGGGTGGAGCCGATGTCTACGAAGGCACCACATTTGCGGCCTCCTACAACAACCTCCACTACGAAATGTTCCCCTCTAGGACTTGCACTTAGTGCCACCCAGGACTCACGTGGATCACTATTCGACCATTCGCTTTGTAAGTCCTCTAAGGCTTCAGACACATCCAACGTACAGAGCATGGTTTGGTCTAGGTGTGTCTGCGGGGTGACTAAAGAGTCATTAGCTATGGCCATCTCATGAAGTGGGGAGGGTATCTGGCCCACTTCATCATGAGTAGAAGCAGCTAGAACTTCCACCGGCCTCAAGTGTTTCCCGAATTGGAACTGGTCCCAGCCTGAGAAGAAGGCACCCCTCCCTTAGGGGGTATCTTTTGCGTGACCTTTGCGTTCTTGCACTTATACTGGGTGTGTCCGTATTCACCATAGTTAATGCAAGCACCACGCACTCAGCGGTCCTGCCACACTTCCTGATCAAGACCTGCCTTAACCCAATCTGCTACTTTGGACAGATTGGAGGCGGCCGGCCCTCGACTCTTTTGATGGCCACCTTTTCCGCGACCACCTGCCCTTACCTTGACTACTGCAGCGAGGGTGCTACCCTCAGCGATCTCCTCGCCATCGTACTCTGAACTGTCCATCATGTCGGTGAGTTCCTCGATTCAGTTTGAGTCCCATCGGAGTCCCATCGGACTCAACCATCATCAATCTACTACCCTTCTTTTTCCATTCCTGTGGACTCTTCTTCCTCCTCCCGTCTACTGGAGTAGGTTGAGCACTTCCTAGAGTAGCCTCCAACTCTAAGGCCTTTCTAGAGAAGGTCTCAAAAGAATGATACTCGAGGCGAGCCTCGCTGGCCAGTAAGGTTCTGAGATTCTCGGGCAGACATCTCAGAAACATGGTCAATAAGACCTGGTCATCATAGTGTATGCCGGGAACGACGATGAGGTTCTCTACGGTAGACGTCAGCTCTCTGACAGACTTGTACCTTCGCTGGTCCAGTCCGAGCATCGCATCAGTGGCAATTTGTGCCTGCTGCGTATTATGCTAGCGAGCTTCTACCATATCCAAGAACTCTTCTAAAGTGTGGGTTTTACCCCAATCTCCCATGCGTCGTCCGAACCCAGCCTTAGCTACTATCCCATCCAGCCATTTGGCTGCCTTACCCTCAAGGTAAGATGCAGCAGTAATCACCTCCTCCTCCTGCAACGTCCTCTTTGCCCTTACCCACATCGGAACCGTCCTCAACCAAGTGTTGAGTTCCTCGTCCTTCTTCTCACCGGAGAAAGCAAGGGGTGGCTTCATCGGGGTCTTTGGGTACCATGGACTTTGTTGATGTCCCTGAGGTGGAACAAATTGTGGCGGCTGTGGTGTAGCTCCAGCCGCTAGACCAGAAGAAGAAGAAGCAACAGTCTGTGCGGCTGCTGCAGACGTACCACTTGGTTGTGTGCCAGCTTGTACCGGAAAGGGGCCTGACATCGCCGTTAACGGCAACGGCGTCTGTGCTGCTGGCCGTGATCCTGGCCTTTGCAAAAGGTCCAAGATTTGGTCCAAGGAGTTATGCATGAAGTCCAGCCTGCTGTCTACATGCGCATGCAGTGACAGTATGCTGGACCTTAATACTTTCATTGCGTCAGATATTGCTGACTCATCTAACTCCTCTAATGCAGCTTTGTCTGCCTCTAACATATCTAGCCTGGCTGTTCTATTTCTGATCTCATTTTCTCTATCGGTAGCTTGCTTCAGTTCCCTCTCTAACCGTGTGCGGATCCTCTCGACTTGTTGGAGCTCTAGTAGCTCTCTGTCGCGTGGGGTCAAGGGGCTGAACCGCGAGCCCGCCATTTGACTTGTGGACTGACTGGAACCTACTGATCCGAAAGTACCCGTGGGCCCATGGGGCATCCCCAACTGGGTCCCAGACAAGGATGCAGCAGAGGATGCTGCAGCAGTAGCCATTGCTGCTGCGCTGGCTGCTGCTGCTGCCTGTTCACTAGCTGCAGCGTTTGCTGCTGCTAACGCCTGACTTGCAGCTAGTGCTGCTTCCCTGGCTGCTGCTTAAGCACGGGCTCTAACTTCGACACGAAGCCGTCTTTCGTCTCCCGACTGTAGGGCCTGAAACACGTGCGGGACCCTACGTGATCTCGAACGTGTCAGCCTCGCATCGTCAACTCTACCCTGATCGAAGTCTGACCCACTCATCAGCTAGGCAAACACTATCTGCACGACAACTCCTTGCTGGAGTCCTACCACAGCATGTGTCTGACCGGCACCTAATTTTCTAAAAATAAATGTGTATGGCAAGTCCCCTACTTAACCGATCAAGTGGCAGCCTACAACATTCACAAGGATTGTAAACATAATCTAATTTTATCCAGATTAGTTCACTTACAGAAGCTTTGCATAGAACTGGCTATGGTAGTATACTACAGTCCTAAACTAAGCTGTCTGTGAAGTGTTAGCAGTCTGTTAACCAACTAATCAAAAATAAAACTAAATTATGTTGCAGATATATGAACAGTGGAAATGGTTGTGTTTACAGTTGAGCACCAATTGGAACCTACCCTCCCCTCAATCCAACATACCGATGAGCATCAATGAGCAGCAGTGTCTTAGGTGTGCAATGTCGGCCCACCACTGTGCCCCAGGTGCATGCTTATGACCAGGCTGATCAAGAGGCTATTTAAGGACTGCCCCCAAGGTCGCTCAGGAATTATTTAACGTTGCAATCAGGACGACGATCACAGCCAATGGACAGATCTGAACCCCAACCAGAAATATTTATAGAAGGTCTGGGAGCGTCTGCATAAGCCTGTTCAGTCCGCACACCCCTCTATCAGCGCAGCAAAGAGCCTCAATGGACAAAGCAGCCATCGCATGCGTGTATTAATCCCATTGGGCTGGCATGGTGACCGTGACCCACGTGCTTCGACCAGGGGCCTTCAAAGGCACCACCCTTTCTCCTTCCAGATGCGCCACTGGGAAGATAGTCGTCTCTCAAGGTAGAGCACTCACGACACCTCACCAAAAAGAGAGAACTCTCAAGTTGGACTCACTTCCTCGCGGTAAGAAGAGATTGAGAGGGTAGATAAGGTAAGGAAACAACGTACCTGAAGATAGCTGCCCCCAACCACAAATTTTCGCACCAATTGAGCTGAATGTGCATTTGATGACCGGTCATATCCTCGGTACCACCCACAACTCAATGCAGTGCCACCTCAGCCAAATGCCACATCAGCATGCTCTCATCACCATACATACATTCTGCTGTCACCACTGCGTCCCAAGCTGTATAGCCTTCCAGCGTGCACCCCTCTACCCGGGTCGCGTGCTATTTTGCCCGACGTCACAAGCAAGTTTGCTTTCTAAACGGCCTAAGTTCATTCTACCTTGAACTCCGGTTGAGAGCGGTCGAAACTYGGGAGCCATGTATGAGCTTACCGTGCTCTTGTATTTATCAGACCGGATTTAAATGAGAACA